ATAGTCGCTTTTTGGTCATTTGACGTCATTTGTACAAACATGACTAGTATTTGACGTCAAAATGACTTGTGTTTGCTACCTGGGGAACGACTTATTTGTGCTTACACAACGGAAAGATCCATGCTATAAACAAAGCAGGCGAAAACAGGTAACGATCGCTTCGGGTCGTCACTTAAAAACCGTGACGTAAGCACGGTGACGTAGGCTGCCGGTGGCCAATCACCCTCGCGAAATCATCGGTAACTAGCTTGGAGGGAGGTGCGCCTCAGAGGTGATAAAAGAACCGCCGCTGCGCCGCGGAATCGATTTCGCTCGCAGATCACCCGTCTAGTATACCAATACGACCGCTAATACACCGCTTTTCTAAACCGCTTTTCGCATAGATAGTCGCACGCGCTTGCTTTCGCCGTGCTAATTCCTGTGCGCGCTCACGGCTTCTGTTCCTTCGCCGGAAAGAAATAAGACTGTACATATTGTAAATACGTTTTCTGAATATACATTTATTTTTCTGTTACTTGCTGTGTCGTTAATCGTGATCGTCTCGTTACCTCGCGCTACACCGCGCTACCGCGTGCTCTCGAACAATAATAAAAAATAAGAAAAAGTGAAAGGATAATCTATTACATAGTTTTATATGATTTTTCTAATAATAAAAGATCGAAAAAGTATATATAATTGATTTGAATAATGCAAAACGAATTTCTAACAATATATTACATAATAAAATCAGTGATAATATAAGGTACAAAAGGTACTTTTTTTTTCTCGCAAACGTGTCTAGTTATTGTCGAATATGTTTCCTTCTAATAATGCAAATCCCATCTGTTTACGAGCGACAAGCTTTCGTTGCGTAAAAAGTATTTTTTGTGTATCTGTGTATGTAAATCACTAATCAAGAAGAAAGTGAAGCATCCATCGTGTTTATAACAATTGTTACGAATTAATTTTCCAGTAAAACATTTCCGTCTATGACCGTATATATTTATTTATGTTTTTAACCGACATGGTAGGCCGGTAGGCCTCGCCGATTTTCGTCGTTTTAGTTTCGAGTTTCGAGACGCTGCCTGTTTTCAGACACGTGGCGAAGATAGCGCACACATGGAAAGAGCCGTGTACGTGCTTCGAGCGTCCTTGTCTAACGAGGCATCTGTACGATATATCTGTCCTCGTCTAACGAGACATCTGTGCAATATATTTATCCTTGTCTAACGAGATACCTGTACGATATATCTGTCCTTATCAGATTGCAGCGACTGCAGCGCCATCTCTTACAAGATCCGGCTGTTATCCACTGTTACCCACAATACTGCTCATTCTGTCAACCTGCATGTGCCTTTGCATTAATAAAGCTGCCTTAGGAACAATCTTTTTTTCTAGGCATTCAATCTTAGTTTTATTTACACGAAATTGTTTGTAAATGTTGTCGCTACTTCCCTTGTGTATCATTTTGTATATATAAACTGCAGTATTTTTGTTTAAGCAAATATTGTCGTCAGGTGACAGCTATATGTGCCCAAATTTTCGTTTCTAATATGAAATCGTGTATCGGAAAATAGATTTTTGTGCGTACTTTAATTCTAGACCAAAAACTTGCAATTCTGTAAAGCCAATTCAAAGAATTCTTCGAATCTGCAAATGTCGGTAACTACTGTCGGTACTATAGGATGCCCTTAACGTTCGGAGAAACAACAGATGTATGTACACTTTTTTACTACACTGATCCGATGCTTTCGAATTAAGTGCTGCTTAAAACCACAAAAATTGTCAAATTTTCTACGACAAAACTTGTCTTGTTGACACTGAATTACGTCCTCTACTGTCAGACAATGAGATACTTTAAAATGTAGTATAATAGTTTATAAAGACCTAAATTCTTTAGAGCATAGAAAACATATGATTAGAGTAGTCATTATTTATACTTAGTTCGTAAATAAAAACAAAAATTATTTATTTTATACTTTTAAAAGTAATATATATTTCTACGCTATGCAGAAGCATATTTTATAATATATAAATAGTTGAAAATGTAGGTACTAGGCATAATCTAAATCTTATACACAATAGTATATGAGATTAATTATGACTTAAGTAATTTTCTCTATTTTTTTAGCATTTTTAATAATTTTTATTTATATATAATAAATTTAAATTTATAATTATATAAACATATATATATAGGGTGTTAGGTAATAAGCGGACCACTTCTCGTGGACAGGAAGAGCGAATTAAACTGAATCAAATTAAACGTCCTTTATCGTACTGTTTCAATAATAATTAATGAGAAATTAATTAATAAAGATAAGAGAATTAATCAGTGTGCATTTACATGATTTGACGAGAAGGAGCAGCCCAACGTTTACGTTAGTATGTGCATAGCGAAATATTATGAGAGAGGAGTGCTTTATAAACAATAATGACAATGAGTGTCACTCATGTATAGTTAATAATTTTTGTTATAAACATAGCGTTCCTCCCAATGTCTCGTCGCGGCCTAGCAACGTAAACACAGGGCTGCTTCTTCTCGTCGAATCGCATGAACGCATCTTGATTCGCGTATCTTTATTAATTATTTTCTTATTAATTATTGAAATACTTACAAAACAGTAAGACTTTTCGATTCAGTTTTACCCGCTCTAGCTGCCCATCACGAGCAGTGATCCGCTTATTACTTGACACCCTGTATGTATACACACATATAAGACATGACTGTTACCACATGGAATACCATGGAAATATCCATCCTTGGAAATATCCAAGGAAATAATTCAATAAACAAACTTGTATTAGGCAGTGTTTATCACACTATATATTACATTTTTATTTAATTTTGTAAAGATTAAACTTGTATAAACAAACTTAACCTTTAACTACCGGCCAAATATGACATGTGAGCAATAGAGCAGACCAGCGCGCGCGATAACATCGTGCACGACGCACGATATCCAATGAGCGTGCAGCGATGAATAGAAAAGCTTCTGCCGAAGCCCACAGAGGCAACTAGAATCTCACTAAAATTCCCCATGTGGATGCATGTCATTGGTTAATCAATTTCCTCTGTAACTCAGTCGATAGCCAATAAGAGAACATATAAATGTAATATATCATTTTTTCGCTTTTTTATTAACACAACGATTAATGATAATTATACGCTATAAACCTTGCTTGATCAATAAGAAACTTATATACGGAAGCACATATCAAAGTATGTTGTAGTTATCGAGAACTAAGGTAACAAAGAGGCCTCGGTGAAACGCATACTCCCTCGTCTTCGCCAACCGAAGGTTGGCAGCAATCGGGAGAATAATATGGTAATTTAAAAGAGAAATAAAAAGAACTTTATAAGTAATCTAAAAAAGTAGGACAACTCTTTAATATTATAATTTTATAATATTGATATTCTCTTTCAACAACTTTCTCTAAAAACAAAAAGAAAAAATTACTGAAGAAGCAGCGATCTATATTGTTAGATCGTAATAAAACGATAAATGCGAAGAACCAGTATGACGATGCCGATCTTTTTTAAAAACGCATATCACAAAATTGCAGTCATAAATTGTTTTATAAATTTTACACGCAAACTTATAATAAAACTAAAAAATATTTTATGAATATGTAACTGAAGGTAACTGTAAGTACCATCAACGTATTGATGGTACGCAAAAAATAAATAAAAATTTTAATCAGGAACAATTTTCATAATATCAACCTTTTTCTATTGAAATGGAATACAAAATAAAGTATTTTATGAAAAATATCAATCAAAAAACTATTTATGTAATAACTTAATCAGAGAATTAAATCTCAATCTTAATTAAGAAAAAAAACATAATGATGTTAGTCTTTGTTGTGTGTATGATGGTTTTTATAGAATTTAAAATGGTCAAAACTGATGGATTTTTACAATCAAACTCAGTTACAAATCCATATACGGCGCGTTGTAAGAAATACCATATTTTTTCGCATTCTGCTGGATACTTTGCATTAAAAACCTGAAAATTCTTTAAGCATATATCCCCTGCTTTACGCACGGTTGCAACTTCGTACTTTAAATAATCAATAATAACATATGAAGTAATGTCATTCTCATCAAAAACCAGAAGTACAAATGGCTGAAGTTTAATTCCTTTATTTTGTGTACAAAAATTTCTCCGTTCTTCAATAAGATTCTCAATTTTTCCGGGAATCTACAGAAAGATAAAAAAATACAAAAACACACAAAACTAAAGAATAACATTAAGTTGTAGTATAAGTATTGTATTTTACATTATATTTATTGCGATAGAATTATGTCCTTATTGTATAGTACAAATCAATTTTATTTAAAAATCCAAATAAGTAGTACGTAATGTAATTAAGCATGGAAAAAAAATGCTTGAATGAAAAATATACAAAGATAGAATAACGATACATATCTTTCATATCTTTAAGCCTAATCTTAATAGCACAGAATATAATGTAATACTTTTATTTTGAATAGGTAACATAAAGAATTTATGTTTTTTGTCGACTATATATACCATACACTTTAGAAATTTTGTTACTGTTTCCATGAAACAATAAATTTATCTTGAAAATCTTTAAAAGCGAGCAAAACAAATAAACAAACTAAGTAAATATTAGAAGGACTTCCGGTTCCGGCGTGTAGATAGCAACAGGTGTGCGTGTGGCAGAGAGTAATATCGAGGTGGAAAAAGGATTGGAGAAAGTTAGAGAGGTCAAGAGCGACGGAACAGGGAGGCGCGGAGGAGCGAGAAGGCGGAGGCGAAAGGGTTAAGAACGGGAGGAAGCAGTTAAGAGGAAAAAGGTAAGGAAAGGGACGGGCGAGAGGTGACCGGGCGGCATAGAATACAGATAGTATAGAGGAGCGACTGACAGAAAGGCGGGGTCGCGAAAGCGGGCATAGACTAGCGCGGATATAGAGGGGATAAATACTATTATAAGTGCTTTCAACCATAGGAAAGATAACCAATAGGAGGGAAAGGCTAAGGGAAAAGCGGCGGATGAAGGCAGAGAAGGAATTAGGAATAGAGATTGACCAGCAAGGAAGGATAGGAAAGAAGAGGGAAGACGAAGGGGAGAGGAAAGCAAGAGGCAGGCCTACAAAGGCGGAGGAGCTTGCTAAACAAAGAGGAAGGGCGGACAGCCTAGGATCGGTCAAAGATCTCATTTTGAAAAGGAAAAAAAAAGAGTTAGAGGAAGAAGCGGCTAGGGCAGCAGAGAAAGAAATTCTCGACAAATTCAACGAAATGAGAAGGACCAACAGATCACCGCCAGCGAAGATAAAAAAAGGAGAAGAGGGTAAAGGAAGGATGGCGACAGAGGATCTATTAAAAGAGATACTGAGGAAAATGGAAGAACAGGAGGAGGAGAGGAAAAAAGACAAAGAAGAAATAAAAAACGAAATAAAGGGAGTAAGGGAGGAATGGAAGAGAAGGGAGGAAATATAGGAAAGGCAGAAAAAGGCGCTAGAAGAAAAAGTAAAGATGATGGAGAAGAAGATAGAAAAATTAGAGATGAAGGGCGCAGAGGAGAATAAAGGCAGGGAGTTGATAGGGAAAATAAAGAAAATAGAAAAAAGTGTAGAGATGACGGAAAGAAAAAGGAGAAAAAATAACATAATTGTGAAGGAGGAGAAAGTAAGAAACGTTAAAGAGAGAAAAGAGAATTTTGAAAAGTTGATGGAAGAACTAAATATTACAGAAGGAATCATAGAAGAAATACAAGAAATAGGATACAGGGACTACAAAATGAGACTCTTGAAATGCAAAAACTAGGAAGCTAAAAGAGACATCATGAAGAAAAAGAAGGAACTAGGAAGGAAATATGGAAGCTTTCTGGATGACGATCTCACCAAACAGGAAAGACAAATACAAACAGAGATAAGAAAGATAGCAAGAGAGAAGAGAGAGAAAGAAAAAAGAGTGACAATTGGTTATCAAAAGATGTGGGAGGACACAAGGAATGGAGATGGAACGAAAGCAAAGGCAGACTGGAGGAGAGGGAACATGAGATCCATGATAAGCAGGCTTGAGGGATACCTAGACAGGAAAGGCCTAACGCTGAGTACGGAGAAGACGAAGATAATAAGATTTAGAAAAGAAGGAAGGAGGAAGAAGAAATATGACTGGAGATGGAAGGGAAAGAAATTAGAAGAGGTTAAAGAATTCAAATATCTGGGGTACACGCTGATGGCGAATGGAAGGCAGGAAGCACATATCAGAGAGAGAAGAAGGAAGGCAGCAAGAGTAATGAGGGAAGTGTGGGGAATAGGTAAAAGGATGTGGAAAAAGGACTGTAAAAAAAGGATCTGGCTGTATGATACACTGATATGGACGGTGCTGGGATACGGGGCAGAAATATGGGGGTGGAAGGAAAGGAGGGAGGTAGAAGGGATACACGAGAGATACCTCAGATGGACACTCGGTGTAAACTGGAGGACCCCAGGGTACATGGTCAGGGACGAACTAGAAAGGGAAAAAATAGGAGCCAGAGCAAGCAAGAGAGCATGAAAATTCGAAAGAAAACTGGAAGAAGGTAAAGGAGGAAAAATAGCAAAGAAATATTTGGAAGAAATGAAAGAAAGATAGAAGAAGGAAAGGATAATAGGAAGATGGGAGCAGGAGAGAAAGGATTACTGGGAAGGTATTGGGGTAGAAATGGGAGGGGAGGAGGGACTGACGGAGGAGGCACTAGGAGAAAGCGAAACAAAGACAAGAAAAAATGGGAAAGATTATGGAATCAAAATACAACAGGTGGTATAAGCTAATAAGGAAGGAGGCAAGATGGAACAGAATTGCAGGGTTTAGATTGGGCAACGAGATCAGGGAGAGACTATACTGGAGAAAAAAGGAAGACAAAAAATGCAGGATATGTGAGAGGAAGGAGGAGACGTGGGAACATGTCTGGGAAGAGTGTTCGAGATAGGAAGATTGGGAGAGAGAGAGTTGGCAAGACGTGGTGGGGAGGATAATGAGTGAAAAGGGAGAGGGAGAGGAATGGATGAAAGCGATAGAAGAGATGAGGAGTGGGGGGGGAAGGAAGGAAAAAGAGATTGAGAAATAGATGGCTAAGAAAATTTATTTAATTTCAGATAAGGTCAAAGAAAAGGGGAGCACAGGACAAAAGGAAGGAATGGAATTCACAGCGAAGGTGACAGTAGAGAGAGAAATGCTGGAGAAAATGATAAGGGATCAAGCAAAGGAAACACTGAGAAAACTAAAAGAGGAAATAAAAGACCAGAGAGAGGAGATCGAGAGCCTGAAGAGAAAAATACGCAAGCTAGAAATGGGCGCGGGTAAAAGGAAGAGGGACGAAAGCGCAGAGAACAGAAGCAGGCAAGACGAAATGAAATGGTGGTCCGACGACGATGAGAGGAATGACGAGAGAAGGAGGAAAAACATAATAATAAGGATAGAGAGGAACAGATGGATGGGAAAGGGAACGAATTGGGAGAAGGTGAGGCAACTGCTCTCGGAGGAACTAAAGTTAAAGGTAGAAAGGAAGGAAGTGAGCGTAATAGGGCTGAGAGGAGAATGGCTCACGATGCTGGTGAGGCTGGGAAGTGAAGAGGAGAAATGGAGATTATTAGAGGCAAGGAGGAGGGCAGCGAGCAGACTAAAGGTTAAGATGGACGAAGACAAATCCGTAGAAAGAAGAATTAGAGAGGGAGAAGAGAAGAAGAGGAGAAAGGAGAGGAGGGGAGAAGATGATGGAAGAACAAAAGGATCAGAAGAGGATGAGATAGCAAGCGAGCTAGAAAAGAGCCTACTAATGGAGACGGAAGAAGAAAAGGAAAAAACAAAGGCCGAGTAAGAAGGAAAGGAGACCAGGGGAATACGGCGGGACGCGAGCGGGGCAGCGGGTGTCCGAGGAGCGAAGAACCGCCCGGTTGAGGGGGCGCGGTTCACTACTGGTCTGGGCGTAGGCGGATGCGTGCCGTGACGGCGACGGTGATCCGGATAATGGTTGTATAAGGCTAAAAGGAGCGACCGAAACACACGGGAAAGACCGAAAACGCGAGCGCGAACGGAGATGGGAAAGAGAAGAAGAAAACTAGCGATGAAAAACCAATACACGGCGCACAGCTATTCCCTAAGTGCTCGGTCGCGCGCGTTATTGAAGAAGGTCTGCGGACGTTACAAATAACATAATATCCGCGGCGGGGCATTGAGTGCGCTGCCGCGGCGGCTGCGCGCCGCTGATAGGCGCACGGAGAACGCGGAGGCGCCGTGGAGCGACACGCAGAACGGGCGGCTCGGACTCGGGTGGATCACGCGCAGAGGGACCAAACTGCGTCACGTGTTGCGGCCCCTGGCTCCCCAAATAGCGATTCGCAGCAAGACTGATGTTGATTTTTGTTTAGCTTTATGAGAGTTTACATACTAAAGTTTTGTAAAGGGTTGGGTACGTCCCGGAAAAACGCCGATAGCGATCGCAGCAAGACTGATGTACTGTTTATTGATTTTTTTTGGAGTTTATTTTATTTTAATTTTTGCATTTTGATAAGTTTTGTATTTTGATGGTTGATACTCTGGTTGTAAAGGGTTGGGTACGTCCCTGAAAAACGCCGATGAGCCTATGGCAGGGAAATATGTACAGGGTTGGGTACGTCCCTACAAAACGCCATTTTGGACCCCTTTGGGGTAATAAAGAAGCTCAAACTAACTAACTAAGTAAATATTAAAATTAAACAGGCAATAAGAGCCAAGCGTGGTTACAATCGCTAAAATTTATTACATGTCAATACATTACGATTAAAGTGTTAATCACAAAATGACGTACGTTTCGACCCTTTTTTTGAGTCATCCTCAGCGCGTAGTCTACACAAACCAAGTAAATATTTCTATTTCATAAAACTGAAACTTTCCTTTACAACCGAAATGAATGCTATTTGAGTCTCTACGACAGACGGTTTCTATTTAACTTTACTTTTTATTAATCCCTTTTGTGGTAAAATATAAGGAAGTGTTTGGAACTTTATTAAATCACTATAATTATTTGAAATTCGAGTGCTATGAGTATGAATCAAATTTGGACATTCGTCACATATGTATCATAGATATGTGAAAATAAAAAAAAAACAATTTCAATATTACGATTATTCATCACACACATAGTTTGTTTTGTTTTAGTTTATTTCTAGCGAAACATAAAAATAACTACAAAAACCAATAATAAATAAATCAATAAAGGACTTTATTAATTTACCCTTGTGAAAAACAGTTTGTTCACACAATTTACACTGTACGTAAATTTTTAAATTATTATTACAAGTTTACTTTATTTCTCTTATTACTTTTTGGTATTATTGTTTTCTATTATATTTATTAATTAAGGTAGTCCTTTCGCTGACACAGCTAGTCAAGTAACAGTCCTTATGAGTAATTGAAAACAAACATATTGACAAACATTACACAACATCCCAATAATTATAATAATATAACATAATTTTACACGCACGATTTATAATCGTATTTAATTATTTACTAATTTAAAAAATATCACATTAGTAGTGCGGTTGGACTTGATTTAGGTTAGGTTGTGACCGAACTTGTGGTCTCGAACTGGAATAAACTTACTTGTAATGAAATTATACGGTCGCCACTGTGTTTTGAACGCTGACACAGAACGTTTAGGCCTGTCAAGAATAACGACAATGGGCTATTTGGCTTCCTTCCTTCCAAGATAGCTATCTTCACGTCGATGGCTTGTCCTCTGGATCCGCACTCGCTTTCGCGTCGCGTAAGATGCTTATATATCCGGTTATCAGGAAAGGAATATTTTAATAAATTGATTGTATTAACAATAACAAAATATATTTGATATTCGCTACAAGGTACACTGAAGTGAGGCTGACGGCAATGCCACTGCCGGTTTATCCCACGATACGAGTCGGAATATCTGACAATAAATTGCCGCGTAACTATCGCTTGCTTTGTACAAAGATATATATAAGTACGCGTTCACGCGAACTAATCTTTCCCAATTACGATTAATCGATCGTTACTGTTATGCTAAAGATTCTCGATTTACACTTGGCATGAAGTACACTCTATGGCATTCTACCAGGGAAAGAACCTTGAGTGGAAAATTCTCTCCCTTTTATACTCTCGCTAGCTGTTCATTCCCACCATCTCCCTCGTGGCCAATGAGCAGCCAGTTCTATTCTCCAGCTATCTCATTCTATCATGTAGTCGACTTGTTCTAACAGGATTCTCGGAATTCTCTCGAGAAGTAAACAACTTTGGTGTCGGATTACGTCAAAGGCAAATGCCGACGTCCGCGTAACGGAAAACTACGACGAAATAATATTTCATGCGACTACATGTTTTCAGATTACCTTTTGGGCTCAATAAATGTTTTAAATAAAATATATGACTATGGAAACGGGATCGTTTCCTTTTCCCTTTCAATCACGCAATATCATACATGCATTTTACATCGAATACGGTTTTTCCCTTCTCATTAACATTTATCGCATCTAATATCGCGTTATTATTCATTAATTCTCTTTTTATTTACAGGTTTCATCCAGGCATTCCAGGATCAACAGGATTCGTCAGGTAAGTATCCCGGTAAGTATAATAAACGTATCAATGACGTTAAAATAATAAAATAATCAGTTTTTCCTTTTCAGGAATTTTAGGTAAAATAAACGAAATGTAACGATCTGACGTTACGTGTATCTCTATTCAGTCTTAAAAGATGATATTTTATTGTTAAAAACATAAAAATGTTGTTAATCATGAAAATGACCTTGACTTTGAAAAAATAAGAAAATTGAGAAAAGCACCTCAGAATAACAGTGTTTGCAATCATTGAGACTCATATCCATGGTCAACTAAGCATCATAAAGCTTGCTCTCAATTTTCACCACTAATTTGTAATTTTGAGAAATAATGGAAAAAAGAATATTATTACATGACTGACTTCTAAGAGTCGCTACAATCATTTTAAGACTAATTAAAAGTTATTTTGACTGATAGATAAAAAGTTCATTCGAATCACTGAGTTAAAGTTTCTCGCGGCGTGTTGCCTCAATTGAAATATTGTGAAATTAAACAAATAAACTATGCAAGAAGTCTATTTAGACTCCAACAAACTTACTGAGACTAGTTGCACTCAATTCGCATTGTAAACGGCTAAGTTCATTTGAATCGCTGAATTAAAGTTTCTGGCGGCGTGTTGCCAAAATGGAATTTTTGTAAAATTAAGCAAATAATGTACATGGGTAGTCTGTTTAGACCACTAAAAAGCTATTGAAAGTATTCGCACTCTATTCGCACGGTTAACTACAAAGTTGATTCGAACTGACAAATTAAAGTTGCTGGCGGCGTGTTGCCAAAAATAAAATTAGGTGAATTTAATCAAATAAATCATACAGGTGGTCTCTGTGGATTCCAATAAAATTACTGAGAACATTAATAATGAATCCGCATGTTAAACGGTAAAGTTCGTGTAAACCGCTGAGTTAAAGTTTCTAGCGGCGTGTTGCTATTGCGCTAAAGTTTCTTGCGGCGTGTTGCTAATTTGAAATACAGTGTGTATTTGCAAATAAAGTGTACGGGCGTGTTTTCCAGGTAAATTTAATTACTCTGAGTCATAATTGCATTAATCAACCCGCTAATTAACATTCTCATTAAAAATTATCAAAAATGAAAATCAAAATAAAACAATCGTTTGTACGCGTCTTTCGCAATATTGTGACGTTACTGGTCACTTTTAAAGTGAGTATTAACCCAAATAATAATAATTTTAATAAAATAATTGATAATAATATATCTGTCATTTTTGGACTATTCTATATGTGTCACGCTTGAATATTACTCGTTTGGAAGAGTACTTTTTAAGAATAAGGTATAAAATTTATATAAAATATATATCAACATCAAACATGACTTTGCATCGCTAATTATCACGTTTTTCAGCTACCGACCTATTCTGTTGCCTTCTGCGAATCGACTGGCTCCGCGTCATCCTCTCGGATCGTCTGGCTCGGCTCGATTAGCTGATCCTCCTGCTCTTCAGACTCGCTGCTGTCAATCGCTATGATGGTCGTGGATTCGGTATTGATATCTAAATTTTTATCGGTATGATCGGGAATTGGAGTGGATGTATGAATACGGGTTTCAGGTGTCTTCAACCCCGCCTTGGTTTTGACTCCGTCCCCTGTCGGTGTCTTGTCTCTCTTTGACTGCATCTGGGCCGCTGCTTTCGCCTTCAGGATGAGTTCGAGAGGTGTCGATGTGGCCGACAAGCTTTTGGGCGTCGGTTGCAAGGTCAGGCATGACAGTACGGGCTGCGTTCGGAAGCATCACTCGGGTGTGCTCCCTTCTCCTTCTAACTTGCTGAGATAGAAGGAGAGGGGAGTGTGCTCGTGTGCGCTCGAGTGACGTTTCCGAACGCAGCCACGAGTAAAGCAATATGCGATTGGATCCACTACTTATTTAACCTCATATATCAGAGCAAAACATTCGGCAAGCCCTTATTTTCAAGGTACGTACGAAATCCGGAAACTTCAGGGAATATTTTAAGACATGAATAATGTATTCATCTGATCGCTAAGTACATGTATTATTCGTTAAAAACCTCGGCCGTAGCGATTTGCATCATTCTATCTTTCTCGTTCATTAAATGTAAACAAGGATAGAATGACAATAGCACGCTTCGCGAACGCATATTTAGAATGACTTATTTCTTGTGAAGTGTCGGTAACCTCACCTGATTTTTCGTACACATGCCCTTTATTACTGTATGTATGTTTAACATATATCAAATTTAGGTACCTATATCTAATACTTGTTCTCACTACC